TTTTTATAAAAATTTTTTAAATAAATATTTTTAATGTTTATTTCAAGAAATAAAATTATTAATATATTGCTTATGATTTTGCATGTTTAATTATAAATTTAACGACATTTTTACAATTTCTAATTAATAATAAATTTTTATTCTTTTTTTAGTAAATAAAAATGTTTCGTAAAAAATTTTTTTAAAGGTAAACATCGATGCACAAATGTATTAAAATCAAAGCGTAAAAACACTCAGAGTCTTCCATGCAGAACCTAAAGAGGAAACATAATTTCATTAACGTTTCATGCTGGTTGATTGCTGGTATCGCAATAATCTTGCGATAATAACGAAGCCTTCGATATTGAATCCGACGGAAAATATAATTGACATTTTACGCGAGACCAATCCTGACCTATACAACGCGTAAAAATAAAGGAAAGGATGATAGTAGAGAAAAGTAAGAAGAAGGTCACGAAGATCCTCGGCAAACCTGTCGGAACTCGGAGTAAGATCAAGGGAGTGTATTTATATTTATATATGTGTAAAACGATTATTATCTCCCTTGTATGCGCCGTTCCTGCGGGAATTAACATTCCGGAGATAACGGGGCTTGCACAGCTCGCTTCGTTTCAAGCGTCTTTTCTTTGTTATCGCGCGTGCGGTTTGCGCGTGGTCGAGTCAATCTGGAAACCGTAACCATTCACACGCACGATCGCGGGTGTTACTTGGGTATTTTCTCAAGGAAAACATACGTAACACCCAGGGAAAAAGATTCCGAGCGTGCAAATGGATCAGCGTTGCAGTCAATTTGCGCTTCTCTCTACTCTCCCATCCATCCCATCTTTTCCGGTAAAACTAATATATAAAGTTTATTATCCACGTGATTAATCGTGTATTGATGATTCAGAAAGAACGATTATTACGTAAATAATTAAAATTACATTTTAAAAAATTTAATTTTTCATCGAAATGAGTAATTGAAAGAAATAAAGAGATGGTACATAAATGCTATAATAAAGATATATAAACACCATAAGACTGAAATATATTAATAATAAATTTTTTTCTCTAGAATTTTGTCTAGAAATTTTATTTGTAGAAATCGGTAACATGGTGAACTATTATAAGAGTTCACAAATAAAGAGGTCACTGCACTTTCGATCGAAGGTGCAACCGGTGGCAACTCTACCTTTGTCACTTTGGAACCCAACGGTTAGAAGTACGTTTGCCTGTTGATGCACTTCCGTTCCGCGTTTGTCTAACGGAGCGATGCAGTCGCACGCGTATATGCAACGTCATTGTCACGTTGCCTCGCTCTATTACCAATCATCTACGTCATCATTGTCAATCGCCTTCCGCTATTACTACGTACTCGTTACATCCTATTCGCAGTAGCATCCTTGAGATTGCATGACTAGATGATGATGTATAATCATAAAATTACTTTCCTTTCGTTCATAAAATTGTAAAGCGGAGAGTTTAAACAATAATTTGTTAAACTCTATTTATCATGTATATTTAATAACATAAAGTTTATACTTTTTACTTTTGATCTCATTTTAATGCGTTTTATGAGCATTTTCAATCAAATAAAAAATTTTATATAGGAATTATATAATATGAAAGTGATGCTCCATGAAAAATTTAAATCATGACATTTATTTATTATTATACCATATATTAATTATACGAAATTATACGAAGATTGAAAGATAATATTCGATAGAGTAATAATCATATAGATATTTGAATGTAACAAATAATGCAAGCGAAATTTTATATAAACTATTCAATACACGTGCATAAATAAAAAAGAGTATGGTCCAATGTATCATATTTATTAAGAATAATAGCGAAATATTCGTCATTCAGTTATGATTACGTTGTTATTTCCGGCCTGCTGAAATCGGTAATAAGTAAGCTGTTTCACATCTTGCGACATCAGCAACACTTTTTACTCGTGGTTATTCGTTTTTATCTCGTTTCCCGATCAACAACTTTTCATACGCGCGCACGCGATTTGGTCTGTCAGATTTCGCTCTATTTTCTCTTACATAAGCTCGGCATATCTTTCTCGTATAGAAAGCGTTGATCGACAAATAACTCGATCGCTTAGCGAATCTAGCGTGCAGGATGACTCGCATGATCTCACGAACAGCGAGATCTCGATGATACCAAGAGCCGAATGGATCGACTTATAGCTGTCCGTACATAGCGAGCATCCACCTTCAAGGATTATCGGCATGCTTTCGCGGCCGTTTCGCGTGCTCGGATACGAGCGTGGACTGTGGTCACCAGTGCACTGACCTCCGATCCATTGCTGGCAGCCGACGATACCGACTACTTGCCGAGTGAAAGTATCGGGCCCGCACTCGGCACACTCTCGCAGCAAGCGTGTGCGTGCTGTGTGCACGCGAGTCACGCACGTTCAGCACATATGATCGAAACCGAACGAAATATCTCGGCGCTGCCTGAGCCTTTCTTTTCGGATCGAGTATCTCCGAGCCGAATTAAATTGGTGGAAACATCTGTTGGAAACCGCCATAGAAATCAGCTGTTACATATATCGTGTTTGCAAGCGTGTTAACTCTGGAGAAAATATATATATATGTATATATCTTTTTATATAAATGTATTTCTCAGAAATGTAATATTACAAGGAAGAAAACCAGATTGGCAAGATAAATTCAGAATTTGCGTAAGAAGTTAATTTCGAATAAAATTTAATATACCCATTTTTACGTAAGAGAAATTTAAATCTCTGTATATTAAACAGGATTATCTCAATTATATACACATGATATTCTATCTAATAAAGCTGTAATAATATTGCGTACTTATACACTTTGTTAACATAATTATAAATATATACATTTTTTATAATTTTTATAAATTTTTACAAATTAATCGATTTAATAACTAGCAGTTTGTTTAAAATTTAATTTTAATATTACAAATGAGATGTAAGGAATAAAACATAAAAAAACAGTACATATGTTTCATGACTATTTCACAAAATATAAAGTTTATGAAAATAAATACTTTCTTTACCGTACAAACAATTACTTCCCATTTTACGGACGTGTTTGCGTAATTTATGATATTTTCTAGCACGACAACTTTCTACAAAACGAATAAAATACATATGAACGGATACAGATACGAAGATCTGTTCGGCTGAGCGAGATCCGAGGAGAGCCAAACGATGTTTTCTAATGGAAATCGACAGAGGTATGTTGCGCATACTCTTCTTGCGCATATTGGCACGCCAAGGAGCGCACAAGCTTTCTAACCGATTATCGATGCCGCTACTGGTTTAATAAAGCTGACGTTCCGGATCGGTCAGATTTATAGCAGGGTCGCGGTGAAAGAGGAAAGGTCGGCGAACGAGCTTCTTTCTTTCTCTTTCTCTCCCGTTCATTCTTCGCGATTCTTCCGATACCGGTGTAGATGTGTGTCATCGTTGATATTTACCGGCTCACGTACACAACGTGATACTATTGCACTATTAATCCTTCGTCGATGTATCGCCACGATTCCATCGGGAAATATATGGCGTTGATGCGAAAGTGTGTCGATGGTACGTTAATAAAATTGAACAACTCAGTGCTGTAATATTAATGGAGCCATATTTATTTCATGCTAACGATCTACCGTCCAACATAATCGCGCTCAATATGTGACCGTTACTCAACAATTTCATAACAATTGCTCGAATAGTTATGTAAAAATCAATATAGCTAATAAATATATCAAAATTTTGTTGCTTTTGGCTATTAATACAACCTTCTCTAATGATTTAACACATAATTATGAGACACAAAGTAGGGATTACGTTATGACTGAATTATTCAAATAGTCGTTTGCGCGATGCATCGCACGATTATTATATCATAATAACTGAAATTACGTTGTACAATTTTTTACCGTGAAAACTACGTAGGCATATGCGTGATGCGGTATTTCCTGGCGCACACAAAATCATAAACATTATCACGCTAAACTTATTACGCGTGCATAACTCGCAACGCGCATAAGCGTTGCGATATGTGCAGGGTCACTTATAATATTTTATCATCGCATAATTATTATCGTAATTGCAATCGGCACTTGCAACAGAAAATTATATTTCCGCAAGTAAAATCGTTTTAGCAGTTCCAAATTGCGCTTTAAATCGAAGCTGCAGCATCAATTAACGGCGTTGTATATTTCAACATCGACGAGCGGAAGCCACCGAAGATCTGCAACGTGCGATCAATTATTAATGAGCCACGACCTCGATGTGTGCAGTTGATGTTTCATAACTGATCCAACATAATACATAAAAATGAAATAAATATCAATCCTTCGATTTATATCACGTGTAATTAAAAAATTAGATATAAACCGTAACATCGCGGATACATTAACAACGTGATCCAGAAATTTATGGAATTCTTATTATCATTTTGTAAAATTAAAAAGTATTGAAATTATTTATTACAAACTTTTATGTAAAAAAAGTCTACATCTGCTTTAGATTTTACATATAATAATTCGTCGTGCATGTACAATAGCTATAAAAATTATAGTAAATAAAAAAGTTTATAGAGCTAAGGTGTGTTACTGCACGCACACCTCTTAAAAAGATAACGCAATTTTTCCCACTTGAAACCCGTCATCATCCTGTTCTGCTTTCTCCAAGAGAACCAAGCGCAGCCACGGCGATCTCTCGTTACGCACGTATATGCAGTATTGTGATGTAAAAGTGGTGCGTTTGATGATGAAATTATGGCAAAGTGTGTTCACAGTTATTGAGAAAAACGTATCGTAAAAACGTATACTATTTGCCAGCATAGTGTTTTTTTGACGCTAAGATTTATGCGAATTAATGTTATTCAAACAAATGACGCATTGTTAACGTATTCATAAGATTAAAAATCAAATCTTTTTTTATTTTAAGCATCCATATACATAATCTTCCTCGAGCGTAACGAATGCTTACATATTTATATAACTTATCGTTATTTATATAGATATAGTTAAATTGTGTAAATTCTTACAATCAGTTAATTTTATTCAGAACTTCTTAACAACTATTTAATATTTAACAGCATTATAATTAAACTTTTATATAGTTTGTAAATCTATTAAATGTAAAATGTAAAAAGAATGGTTAAAACATTATTTAAATTCTTCAATCAGTGGAATAATTTAGATTCAACAACATTGTTTTTGTGATTCTTAATGAATATTGTAATAATATTTATATGAT